TTCTCGTGTATGAGCGAGGGTGCTGGAATCTCCTTCCTAAGACAATCTTCGATTTGCTCGTTCGAATTTAGCCGGATTTGAATTTCTTTCTCGATAATGGGATAATAATATTCTCGAGGATGGAATATGCTTTTCTTCGCAGTGTGATAATGAGCTTTTGCGAAATTTGTAGACAGGTGTATTTTAAGATTACGTTGAAAGGAAAAGGCGCTACAGGCAAATGTTTGCTAAGGAGTACTGCTGTCATTCTTCCTGGCTTGGATTAAGCAAAGTATTACGTAGCACTTTTTCTCTTCCAGTGGATCGTCGAGAAAATATTCTTTGTTGAAGATAACTATTGCTTCCAAGCACGGTTGTAACAGACGCATTTCTCGAAGTGACCAGACAGATTCAGATACTGAGAGGGGAATTTAAATAGATACGGACACAGATATAAATTCGAGGTAAATAATACAGATACGGATATATACATTATGAGGATGTACACTTCATGAAGTGTATCTAGAGATACAGTATGTGTCTATATCTAGTTATTATAGTGTCTCAACTACTTAAAAAAGCAAAGTAAGCCGAGCGATCGCGTTTTTTTAGCAAAGCGAATGATATTTCTCTCCGTGTATTATTACCCACGTGTACACCTTCTGACAAATTCCGAATCAATTTTCCCCGATAATCGACACGTCGACCTACCAATATCAAGATCAAACGATCGAACGGCAATCACGAAAGAGATTCGCTCGGAACTATTCGCGCGTATTTCCCGTAACAGCAGGGGACACGTTCCGCCCTCCTCTCGCGAATCTTTTTTCCGTTATTTTCGATAACAGAATCAATCCTGGGAATGAGTCGCGCGTTGGACGGAACAATAAACGCAACTGAATATTTCCTCTCTGAAAAAAGCAGCGATTTGTATTTCACGACTTGTGTATGCGCGATAAATGAAAGCATTTCCTGTTTACGTACGCGAATATACATGCGCGCTGCAACATTTTATTTTATCGCAGAATAATTCCACCGGAGGGGGACAATTGAGGTAGGCATGCAACTTTTATTTCGATTTATCCGCCACGTGCACCATCCCTCCTCCCCCGACCCCTCGGGTCCGCTGAATATAACCCACATATCACGGAATCGTCGTCGCCGTATCGGGGTCGCATGTGACAGAATCGCTTTTAAAATCGCGTTACCAGACGCGGTCGACGCGTCGTCGTCATTGTCGTCGTCGTCGATGACTTCAACGCGTGCGAAACGCACTCGAAACGACCGTAGGACGAGAGGACGCGCGGAGAAACGCGCAATCCCACGCGCGAACGCACTTCGCTCGAGGGCGAATCCTGAGCGGGTTCAGGTGTCGCAGGATCCGCGCCACCCTATATCCCGAGGACGGCGACGGGAGGCAACGAGGCGGATGCTTTTCGCGGTCCAACGGCCCGAGAGCGAATTATCCTGCGTCGTGGAAGTTATCGAGGAAATATTGGAAAGTCCGCAGCCCCGCAGACGCGGCAGCAGCCGCCGCCTCGTCGAGTGGCTTCCATTCGTTTCCGGCGCAGCGATTCGAGTGCGCCGGGCTGAACAACGATTCCTGACTAACGTGGCTTACGAATGAAATCCGACGAGGGCGTGTGGCGGCGATAAAGAGGATCGAAAGCGTGAGAATGGAACAGTCGGATGGATCGGGAGGAGAAGCGGTTTTATCGCGCTCGACGGGAGGCAATGTAAGATTATGTTCGGGGAATGAAGTACCAGGATTTGTCTTTTTTTCCCCTCTTTTCTCGCGAGGGTGAGAAGGGTTTCTCTTGTGCGAGCCTACGTTCATAGTGCATTATCTTGAGCGCGTGTTCGGCCCCAAGTGTATTTCTGTATCGGCCGCGCACGCAGATCGAGCCTTTCTCGACGGGATCGACAATGCGGAAAATAAGTATCGCGTAATCCTAATGAATATCACCTTAAATCAAAAACCATTTCACGCTTACGTGCGGTAATTCGTTTAAAAATTAAAGTACCATTGCGCTCAAGTGAGTGTTCGCTGCAAGCTGTTAAAATATACGTTTAAATTGATAAAAATATCGTTTGATTCAAGGAGCTGAAAAACACACGTGTATTTTACGTGTATTCGACTTTAGACCTTTCTTCCTGTGTGTGTGTGTGTGTGTGTAAGTCAACACCTACGTATGACAGATCTACTTTGTACGCATCGCACAGTGTCTGAATAAAAACATAGTAATGGCCGTCATTGCGCGATTTTCCGCACGCGAGCGACATCAACGCCCCGGCGGCTCGGTGTAAACACGAAGGAATAAACGCGGTAAACCTTACGATGAATTTTCCACATGAGAGTACGAATCACTATGCGTCGGTTCCACGTGTGTCGAAGGCTATTACACCCCGAACCAAACGCGTATGTTCGAAAGACGTTTCAATATCAAAAGACATCTTCACGACACCCTGGGACACGTCTCAATGTCACCTGGAGAAAGTCTCAGTACGGTATTTGCAGCGAGTCAAGCGTCCCAGCTTTTCAACGCCCCGCCGCAGGTTGTAAAATTGCGCTCGGAAACCGTAAATGCGTCGGGGAATCTCGCGGACAAGCCCGCTAATGCGGCCCGACGCGGATCGACGTGAATATCTCGCGTTCGCGGGGTAATTCGCGGGAATGGAAGTCTCCGGGCGNGGGGGGGGGGGGGGGGGGGAATCGTCGGCTGCTCGATGAGACCGTGTGAGTGTGAGAGACGACAATAGAAAATAAGAGCGACGTTTTAAGACCCGCGTCGTCGCTCGCTCGCCCTCTCAGATACTTCGGCGAGCCCGAACGTTTCGAGCGCGTCCTCCGTCTTCCGGCCATCGACGGTTTTCCGATGATTACGCGGTCACGGCGCTTTAATTACGCGGCCACGACGATTCACAGCCGCGTGAATGGTGATAGCGATTATTCATCGGCCGGTTTGAGAGCCCGCGCGAGATACGAGCTGCGCTGACGCGGGGACGATTATTCAACGTCCGTTGTTGCGCGAACCGCGAGTGCCCTTTCGCCACTTATTGCCGCCACGGCACAATGGATTTTCAACGGCAATTTCGATTCTTGATTGCGCTATGCGCCGGGGTTACGCAGGGGTTAAGAGAGAGAGAGAGAGAGAGAGAGATATGGAAAAGAATGGGAAGCTTGACCTCGTTCGTTCCTTCCCTCCCCCTCGTTACTTCATCGCGATAATCTCGTCGAGCGCACGCGCCGAATTAAATCGCTATCGATAATACGCTGTTAACGGGCTTATCTGATAATTGCGCGTGCTATGTCGGGAATAGCCGCAAAGTGGAAAACGATCGCCTCGAAAGGGAATCCCGCGAGAGGCGCCCGAGCCACGGCCAATTTTCCTGTTCTCGGCTCATCCCCGACCGGATTTGTACTTAAAATTATACCGGTTTCGTTACCTGAAGTTATTACAGCGCGAGTGGAATAAGGGAACGGATGAAGTGCGAGAGAGAGAAAGAGAGAGAGAGAAAGAGAGAGATAGAGAGCCGTCGAAGCGGGATACGATTAACGACAGCGTATCCTCGCGGCGAGAGATCGTCATTGCGCGATCGAACCGGGGATGTAATTTCGGACATCGCCGAATGTTCGGCCGTGGCCGGCGCTCGCTTTGCATTTAATTTTCCGCAACTGCCTCATGCATAAATCGCGGATGCATGGAATAAATTAGAGGCCTGTAAATTAGATATATCGCGGGCGATATCAGTCTTCCACGTCCTCGACGTGCCGGTTCATAACTGTGGAATTAATTCAACGCCGCTGACCGTCGCGGAACGGTAACGCGATTCCATTTTTCCCTCGCTCCCTAGTAGATACTATTATCTTGCGGGAAGCGCGATAAGTTCGGCAGCTGCAGCGTTGGAAGAAAGCCTGAGAGACCAGACGCGCGGGTCAACCAGACGTACGGCGCGCGTCTTTGATTTTTTTACTACGCGTCGATCGACTTCCGTAGAAGAGAAACACGTCCGATACGGGGTCAAGCCGATTAACGCGAGAAGAGGAGGGGTGTATTCTTTGAAATCGAATTAGCGAAAATATCACCGGCTGAATCGATAAAGCAGTGTATTGCACTGGCGATCGGTGCATGGAAAAAGTAGTCTTAAATCGATGATAGATTTCTCGTGTATGAGCGAGAATATTGTTGAAGTTCTCCGGAGATTTTTCATCGCGAATTGAGCGCAAGTGATACTTGCGTCAGTACGAATTCAATCGAGTCGAGACGAAAGATCGACTGAGAAAATGATCATATTCTTGATTATACATGAGAATATCTATTCTTGATTTAAGTTCCGTCCTTTCCCGTGTATTCACTAAGAAACACTTTCGCTTGTTTTATATTTCATTGACTTCAGCTGATGAAAGATTCATCGCAAATCGCTGCTACGTGTCTTCCTTGTAATAAAAATATATATACATACATACACACACATATATATATAGACTCGAGAATCGGAGGTTTCGAGGCCGAGTTACATCAGGATAAGCTGATTTTTCAAACACTATATATATATATTGAGTCAATAAAACATAATAAAGAATATATCAGATAAAAAGATCGGCAGCACACCTTAAGAATGTGATTACCGATAGATAATGAAAAAGAGGTGATAAATAATATCTCTCTTCACCGCGTGGCTACAGCTGGATTTCCCGACGGGAAGTCGCCGCTATCAACCGGCTCTCCCAGCGAAATTTCACTGACTCTCTGTGCTATATTTACAACTATAACCATCAACTAGCGACTACTCGACCGTTTCTCAGCGATAACCCGCTGACTGCACTTCGGACAGTGCGTTATCGTTGTTACGTTACGCGTTCACCGGACCGTTACTGTATTTCACGTCGGTCCTCATCTGACCTCGTCTTAGAGCGAAATAACCGGCTGTACGCGAACAACAGCCTCTCCTCCTTCGTCACCTTATAAGTCCCACAGAGAGAGAGAGAGAGAGAGAGAGATTGGCAAAAACGCACTTACCCATTAGCTTGCGGACCTCCGTCTGGCTGAGGAAGAGGTTGAAGTAGCTCGCCGCCGGCTGCGCGACGACCAGCAGCAGCATCGCCGCGAGCCTCCAGAGCATCGTGGCCGCCACGTGACGTTCACTCGTGGTGGGCCTCCGTGTGTGTATTTACCGACGACGACGACGAGGGGCGAGCACAGAGCGTCTCGCCGGACGCTACGCTCCGCCACCGGCGAGATTCATATTTTCGCGCGACGCCCGCTCGGAGGATGGCACTCGCACGTGACACGCCGCGCCTCGGGAGAGAGCGTGCGCGCGCGGCTCTCCTCAGGAGCGGCCCGGAGACGCGCGCTCCTGCCCCCGCTTTTTTGACAGCTCGTCGACGGCGCGCGTGTTATCCGGCCGAGGGACACTCCCCGCACACGGAGGAAGGCGCGTTCGCGGCTGTTCTCTCACCTGGATGTCGCACGACGCGTTCACCCGACCGGGGATTATCGAGCGCGGTTACGACGGAGTCGAGCGGCGGACGAGGCGACGCGGAATGCTGCGAGAACGGAGCGGAACGTTCATGGGGAGCGCGCGCGCGGCCTGCCTGCCTGCCTCGTGAAAGCCACAACCAGTTGTGTGCTACCATCGCCATGGGTCGTCTGGGGTCGGCGCAGGCTTGTCGGCCGAGAGCAGCCGAGCGGGCCCGAAACCTGCCGAGGCCCACCTACGAGAGAACCGACGATGGTCGTGGTCGTGAGCCCACGACCAGAAGAGATCGAACCGGCCGTTCTCTCTCTCTCGAACGAACGAACGAACGAACGAGACCAGAATTGAATTTAAAATTCACCGACGGCGATATTGCGCGAGCGCAAGACTGCGGGTTTCGGAGGGCGGGGGAGAGAAAATCGCTGGACGAGCGCATCTGTCTTCTGCTGTTTATGACTTGGAACAATTTGCTACTCGTCCGAGCGACGAGTCCGCAAACAGAGTAATACGGAGGACAAGTGGTGTTCGCGCCCTAGGATTCGCGAGATTTCAGTCGGAGTAGGGGTGTTGCGATACTGGACGGAGAAAAAGGTCTCGTTGTATTAAACCCAGAAAGGGAAGGAACAGGTGCTGGTTTTGGTTGGAGGAAACAGAATTTCTGTTTGCGAGAGTCACGTCCGAGTCACAACAGCCAGAATTTCTTCTTCGCGCTCCGACCAGAAAGCTCACTTGTTCCCTTTTGATATAACCGGATCATTTTTTCCGTATTTTTCGATTATTCTCTGCCGCAATAATTTTCGGCATGCGATCTCTCGCTTTTAACGCCATCGAACTTAGTCGTGGCGAGAAGACGGAGAAGCTTCAACACATCCTCTTTAAAGCTTTTAGATCGCGAACCGTAGAAAGTCTAGTGCATAAAGTACGACTATCTTTATACCACATAGTGAAATTACTATGCGCGGACGTACGTTACTTTAAAAGCAGCTTTAAAGTAAGTAGCTTAAAAATACCTTTTAAAGCAGCAAAACAGAAACGCCCTTCTTATTTCTTCATTCTTATATTTCCTCTAATTTCACTTCTCTTTAAACTTTCGACGCGAGTGTGTCAGTATCGAGATTCTCGTTCTGACACTGGCATCACTAATAACATCGGATATTCCTCATTAAATATCCGTCCCGGCCCGATATTGATATCGATACTTTCACGGGTATCGCAACATCCCTGATTCGGGATCGTCGATTTTTGCCCGACGCGTCCGCGACACGTCGCTTGCGAGAGCCGTCATCAACTACCGATTATCAGACGTCAGCTATCGGCTGTCCGTGAATTATCGGCTGCCAGTCGTCGGCGCCGGTTCGCGTTGAATTTTCAACGAGCGCGCGCGGTTCCACCGGACCGGCCGTGAAAAGATACCCGGACGTGCTTGGAAATCGGTCCTCCTCTCGATAGGTGGGATAAATAGAATGTGTGAGCCTACCTGCGTCATTTGCGCGTTGACCGTTTCCTAACGGTCTCGCTTTTGTCGGCGTAATAAGCCGGAGGATTCTATCCGCGATGGAACTTCTTATCCGACGTGTCGGCCGAAGTGTCGCGCGTACACGGACGCGCAAATAGAATATCGCAGGGACGATCCTCCCGGAATCAGTCGGCGCTGAAGGAGCTCTAATTGAGCGGGACAGCTTCTCACAGTATAAATAGAGAGGATAATGCGGTGGGCAATCGACGGTTTCTTCAGCCGTCCGCTGATACCTACGGCTTTTACGGTGGCACGGCTCGTAACATTGGTGTTGCTAACCGTAGAAAATCGAAAGCGTAACGGCATTCTCGGCGAGCAATAAATTCCAGGTCCTTTATCCACGGTACTTCGGCAACGGGTTGCACACCCCTCGCGCGTTATCCGAAGCTGAAAGTCGCGCCTGGTTCGCGCGGGAAGCCCATTTCGTTCTTTCTCTTCTTATTGTCAGCGTACAATACCTCGCTGTCCAATTAACCGCTATCAATCGGCGACGCGAGACAGTGCGATATGAAGCGTGCTACTTTTGTCGTCTGTTTATTCATTCCACGTGTCTTGCATAAAGATTTCCGCCTTCTCAGATGAAAATCGACGAAACCGTGGGGAAGCGCGGTAAAAGTACGGTAAACCCGACACACCCCGTGTTTCTCCGCTGTATTTTAATAAATTACGTCGGACAGAACGCGAACTTTGTCTATTGCGTGTACAACGCAAAAGCATCGAAATCACTCCAATTTTCACGTACACTTCCGCCGTGTAGGAGCATTTGCAATTTTGCGCAACATTTACCAGACAAACGGTTCCCCCTATTTTTATGATTAAAATCACAAAGTGAGTGGTGGAATCTTCCCACCGAAAATAACTATAATTCTCTACGAGTGTAGTTTCTAGAAGGGTCGATCCTCAAACATCTTAGAAACTAATTATCACTCGCGGCAAAATATGTAATAATTTATATTAATAAATATCACATTGTTAAATTGAAGACCGTCGTATATTCCGATGGGGAAGCGTTGCTGGTTCGCATCTGCGCAGGTAAATTTCAATTTCACACGGGACTCGAAACGTCTCACAAGCGTGCGATTGCTTCATACTGTCGATACTGTCATTGATTACGCGGTCGGTCGCGGACTTTAAGTCTCATCCTTTGACGGGAAAACACACGTCACGCTAACCACAGACAGAGGTAAGTTCAACCGCGAATTTACGAGACGCGCGAAGTGTGGGAATGTTCCTCGCGTCCCGCGGGAGGAAGAGATGGATTAGAATTTCTTGCTGCTCTCCTCTCGCTTAACGCGATTCACTGAATTATGCTAAACAGTTCCCGAAGAGGTCGCGTGCTAAAGGACACTCATATATATATTTCCATATTTTACATCTGCCTGTATAATTAATACACACAGACGCGCACGCGAGAGACGGAAGCGTCAAGATTATAGATCGCTGCGCGGGGGACAGCGGCGATAAACAACGCGTCGAATTATTGACGATAAAGCGCGCTCCTCGATCGCACTTTCGGGACATTTTTACCGCGCTTTGTCGTCGAGGAACGGAGCGTATCTCTAGGAGCCACGAGCGCGATGTGCGGAATACGAGGCGCTCTCGAATTTCATCCCGGAGGAATCGGGGGCAATTGGAATATCCGTCCGTGCATTTGCATAATTCGAGAGATCGACGACGGATAGGGAGAACGCCCACGTAGCCGCGTCGAATCACGATCGTCTTTACCTACCCAGGACCCACCTTTCCTTTTTCCCGTCTACCAGGACGCGCTTGATTACCGTACGCCGTTATTACCGGCGATGCGCGCGAGCGAGAATACGAAGAGGCGGAAGGAGGCGAGCCGAGAGCGGGACTCGTTTTGCAAATTCGCGGTTGATTGAAAAGCTCGCGCGGCATAAAAACGGCCGGATAACTGCTGCGGCGGGAGGAGGAGGGGAATGAGAGAGAGAGAGAGAGAGAGAAAGCCGGGTGATTACTCTCTTACCGTATTATAGCATGGGCCGAGGAGCGTTTGTCTGTTAACAGGCCCGATTTCGCCATTGGCGGCCGACGGATGCGAGAGGCAAATTCGTACGATGCGTCCTCGCGTGTCTTTCCTTTTTCCCGTTCGTCGTCCTCGTCGTCGCGCGGAGAGCTATTAATTTAATCTCCGCGATCATGCGGTTACTTGAGTTATCATTTAATATTTTATCGTCGGCCCTCCCCCTCATTTGCTCGTCGTCTCGATACCGTAACGCTGATACGGATTACACGCTGCCGGACGGTGAGTAGAAAATGTCCGACCCACGACGTGCGTACGAGCGCGCCAACGTAACGAGCGTGAGACGGGATTGCGATTAATCCGCGTGGTAATCGAATCAATCAACGAGCCCTCATTTCGTTTCTTTCAAATTCGAGCGATTCGCCGCTAGCGGAGGGCAAGCGCGTGGAAAATTCGGAAGGTGGGACGAGAGCCGAGTTACCGTTGGCCCGAGTTAACAATGCGAAAGGGAGGATGCGGGCTGTAAGAATCCTGGCGCGGCCGCGACTGTGCGCGATATTTGGATCGCTATCTGGTGGGTCTCCGGTAGTCGTGCGCGAGCACAATATACAGTGGGTCCAAAGCTGATACAGCTGATATCATAAACAAGACTGCGCAGTGCGCGGTGTGAAGCAGCGGCTTAATCTACCGCAAATACAGGCCGCCTCGCTTAAATCAAGGCAATGTCAAGAGAAGAGAACGGGCCCCTTTGTCGGTCCTAATCTGCGCAAACAGCCGTATATCTGGCGGTCGTCGGCCAAACTCGCGGTTTATCCGAATTTATCCCGGCAACGGCTTCTGGAAGATGTGTGTCGTGAGACGCGAGAGACTACTCTCTCTCTCTCTCTCTCACACAGATATATTTCCCACCGTATTCTCTCTAATTTCTGTCATAATTCACGTTACGATTAGCACCGCAGCCTTCGTCATAATTTTATTCGCACACACGGTGTGTACGTGATTACGACATAATTACGAAAATAAACACGTCGCAACGGTTTTACTCGCCGTGGTGGAAAATCTACTCCGGGGGGGGG